CATAGGCCCCCACCTGATTGTTCCGTGCTCCCCTCTGGCTGGAGAATGGAGCAGTTAGGCCTAGGAAAGTCACAGCCCCATCCCCTGCTCATTATCCTCCAGAGGAGGGTCTTTTGATCTTTTGCAGATCACCTTAGCTTTGTTAGCACACACAACACAACATCTATCTAGGTTACTTGAAATAACCGTTTAGAAGAAGCAAGAGCAGTGCTGTTGATATAGTGCCCTTATTTTGCACTTTCATTTTATTGTTTTAAATACAGGCATGGAAGAGGAGACCATCCAAATTTAAACTTTGGTGTTTGCTGTGTTTTTCACCATGGTTGGTCCAGGTCAGGGCAGGCAGAGTATGGTAGACAATGATGGAGGTGCTGGGTCTAGTGGTGGAAGAGGTAGGCCCCTTCCGAGATGACAGATAACAAATGATAAAGTCCCTTTGAACTTTCTTTTATTTTTAAAAAAGTTGAATTTTGAAGTTAGCTTGTTAGCTAATGGTTTACTTTAAGGCCTTTTCAAAAATCCTCCCTGGTTAATCCCACTCCTGGTCCCTCTTCCTTTGCCTTATCCCCTATCCCTATCTCTACTGCTTTAGCGCTTTGTATTCTCTCTTCTTTCATTTAACACATGTTCTACTTTCCTTTCATTTATTGTTTTTTAAGTTGGGGTGTGAGATAGTAGGCTGCCATATGCTTTTTATTCCCCCTCCCTCTGAGTTGGCCCTCCCCTTCACTCCGATTTCCCCCATACTCCCATGCTCCTCCCTGTTTAAACCTTTCTGTCTCCAGAATTCCACCTCACCACTTTTGGGTACCTGCAACATACTATCCTTTCCCCTTAACATGCCCCCTAAAGGCCTTTTTTTAGTTTTCTGGCTTCTACTTCTGCTCTAAGCTAAACATAAAAAACCTGAAGGCTGGGGCAGTACAGGAGACAGAACACACACTTAGTCATATCCTGCCATTTGTTGAGTGCTGTGATGAGCAGCTTCATGTGTTTGGTCACATTAGATACCCACACGTGAGAGGAGCCATGCAGTATTGCTCTTACTGTGACCAGCCTACTTCACTTCATGTTGTGTCTTCAAAGCCCATCTTTGTTGTCTGGGCAGAATTTCCAAGGAGGAAAAAGCTTTGACAGTCACAAAGAATAGAAACAGGAAGTATGAGAGGCAATCAGTAAGAACACAGGGGACAGAGAGTGCAGAGCACTGGAGGACACAGTGAAGGAGAATTTTGTCAAATTTCTCAGCACCACACAGGAGCTGTGGTTTATGAACTTAGTTTTTGCCTTGTCCATTAGATCTAGGAACCACTTAAGGAATCCAGAACATGGAGTTCTGACACCAAAGCAGATAAAAGTATCCTGTAGCCTCAATATTTCCTGCCTTCTTCCTGCCCAAATAGGGATTTTAAAGACTATGAATAGATGGAAGAGTTGTGTGCATTCTTCATATGGGTTGATCAGTTGGTTGAAGATTGTCATTTCTGCTTTAGCACTGTTTTCTCTAGACACACACATAGTTTTTGGTTTGTGTTGCTATAACGTTTCAAAGTTCCAGACATGCCATTCTGCCCAGTGAGTAACTGATCATGGGCACAACTCTTTAACAATAAAAGGCTTTCATTTGTTATTTAGACTAATTCTTAATTTTCCAAATGGTTCTCATCATGCCCTTTTAGCTGCTGCTCTGATTGTCTTTATCTTTGGTCTTCCCTAACTTGGAGTAAACCAATGCCACCTTTTGTTCTTTAGGAGATAGAACATTTTGAAGAGACGTGAAAAGTGAACTCAACTGTTCTGAAAAGTATCTTTACCTTTGGTCAACCCTGATGTTTGTATTATAAGTAGATTTTACTTTAAGTACATTTGACAAGATGTGTATTTGATAGAGTATCAAGTGGCTCATGAGGTTATCTCGTCTAATGTTCTTTTTAGACTGTGTCTCTTGGTAAAAGCATGTCTGTCACAGTCCTCCATTGGGAGGGTATCTTTTTCCCTTTGCAATCAATAAATAATCTGTGGAGTTACCATGAGACTGAATATCTTGTTTCCTGGTGGCCTTTCACCTACTGATGTTTAACATCTTCATGAACTTGTCTCTTCCAGATCAGTTATTACCGTGGTGATTTTGTAAAATGATGACTTGCTGTTTGCTTTGTTACTTATATATTTGATAGCTGAACTAAATTTGGATAGGGAAAAATGCCTCTCCCAATTTCCTGCTTTGAAGATATCAGTATTCACTCACTTAAAAAATAGATAAATCTATTATGTGATTAACACTTGGGTCATTTTCGATTATGATGTTTGAATTGTATGACAGTAAGAGTTCATTGAAGCTGGGTTTGTAGCAGTAGTTGAACACTTCCTTCCCTAATCCCAGTGTAGAAGGAGTTCAGACTCATTGTACCTTCTTAGCCCCAAACCACAATCAGTGATTTCTCAAAAAAATGGTTTCTTTTAGTGCACAGGATATTAGGAAATGAATAACTGGGAATTAAATGTGTTCGTTACTATTAAATCATTGTTTCAAGAAGAAAAGCATTGTTAGTTTTAGAACTGCTAAGTAGACTGAGCTGGTAGATAGACACACAATCACTCCCTAACAAGTATAGTATCATGAACCATGAGTTCTCATAACACTTCTCATTATAATCTTGAATTCTAGCATTGTTTTTCTCTTTATTTGTGTCTCTTGTCTTCCACAGAGAATCCTAATTCTAATGTAAACAAATTAATATGTACTCATCCATAGCTACAATAACCCATCTCCATAATTTTAGAATTGCTGCATTAGCATCTGTACCAGTGACAAACTCAGGGAATTCAAGAGCTCTTTGCTCTCTCTTTGTCCTTACAATTTATTTCATTGAGAATGTGAAGTTATATATTATGTTCTGAATTATCTGCATTGTCCTTAACATAATTATATTTGATATATGATTAAGTTTGTTTCTATTTTAATTAAATTTTAGTTTCTTTTATTTTGCTTAGTGTGTGTGTGGGTGCGTGTGTGTGTGTTTGTTTGTGTGTGTGTGCAAGCATGCACATGCAGTGTATGTGGAGGCCAGTAGACAACCTTGGGTTTCATCCCTTAGGTACCATCCATCTTATTTTATTATACATAATCTCTTGTTAAGCTGGAGATCACTAAGTATCATGGGCTGGGTGTCTAGCAAACTCCAGGAACCTGCTTTTTCAGCCTGAGTCTATCTCTCCAGTTCCAGGGTTACAAATCCCTATTGCTTTGTGTGAAATCTTTTATACCAACTCTGGGGATTAGACCTGGGGTCCTCATGTGTGTGGCACTGGCATTTTACTGACTGAAGCCATCTTCCCAGCCCTAAATATAACTTTAAAAATGTATAAAACTAACACAGTTCAAAAGTGAAAATGATATGAAAAGATAAAATTAGTTGAGGACAGTGGTACATTCCTGTAATTCCAAGACTCAAGAGGCTCAGGCAGGAAAATTGTCATAAGTTGTAGGTAGCGTGGACTAGATAGCAAATACCAAGCAAGCTTGGTTAAGTATGGTGGTTTGAATGAGATGCCCCTGCTCCACCCCCTCCCCCGCCCCTGCCAATCTTGAACTTGATTACTTGATCCCTAGCTGGTGGTGCTGCTTGGGTAGGTTTAGGATGTGTGTCCTTACTGGAGGAAGTATGTCGCTGGAGGTGGGCTTTGAGTTTTCAAAGATGAAGGCCTTTTCCAGTTTTCTCACTCTGTATTGTACTTGCGGTTCAAGACGTGAGCTTGCAGCTTCCTTTTCTTTCTCTGGAACCATAAGTCCAAACAAACTCTTTCTTCTTTAAGTTATCTGGTCATGGTGCTTTATCACACAACAGAAAAATAAGTTATATATATATATATACACATATATAGTAATATGTGTCTCTAGACTAATACACTAATGTGTGTCTATGTTTGCCATTTTTATCTTTAAACTATCATGAGACAACAGTATGTGTATTAACATCAATGACTGATGAAATTTTAACAATATCATAATGAGTAATGGTATGTTCACACAACTCTTAAAGAATATGCAAGACTAGTTACTGCTTAATTTTGTCTTAGCTTTTTTTTGGTGTTTCTCATTGTACTGTGCCTTAATTTGTGAGATCTGAAATCGTTTCCAAGAAAAATCAAGTGATAGCCTTGCTTATATGATTTTTTTGGTATATTCTGAAATAGTCAAAATATGGGCACATTGGGGAAACAAAAGATTTAGAACTAAAAAATGTGATAATACTCAGCTGTGTCTGGGTAAATTAAAATTGCACAAAGTATCTGATTGCTTTAATATACCATGTGTAGGTCTAAATTCTCTCTGCAAATTTTCTCTTTCTAGAAAGATTATACAAATAAGTGTCAATGTCCAGGATGGCATACCAAAAGAAATAATAGGCTGTATACATATTAGGAAAGTCTAAAATAACTTTTAAAATCTTTCATATGATATGCTTGTCTTTACTCCCTTCAGTGTAATTTCAGGAGAATAAAATGTTTCTTCATGAAGTAATATCAGTAACAATATTTTGACTCACAGTATAGTTTGTTTATTCACTCAACAAAAATTAATAATGTACTGTGCATTTGATTAGGGCTTAGATATGTTCTCTACAAGTGTGTCTCAATTTAATTCCTGCACACTTTGATGACTGGTGTGGACTGTGAGGATTACTTTGCAGTGGTGGTTGACGTCATCAGCCTAAAGAACATATTGGCTGTGGTGTGTTGTGGAGTGGTCAGGGTGTGGATTAGTGAGCTCCCAGAGGAGAGAGGTGAAGGGTTGTTCCTTCTTGGGCTTACTTTTCTGGTTTGGTAGGCCAAGGTGGGTTTGTTAATAGAGGTGTCATGCTCAGTAAGAGTTGCTTTTCTTTTCCTCAAATCTAACTTGGTTTCTTAATTTCTGTTTACAGTCTCCTCTTGTCCAAATTCCATACAGAGAGGTTTATAGGTAGTAAAAATTTACTTTTACTTGCAGGTGCTGACCCTGGGAGGGTGAAACTCCACTGTCATATAACCCTGTCTGAGTCATTTTAATCTAATCGCCTTCCTTTAAATCCTGGAAGAGCTGCATCAAGACTACATTTAGAGAGCAAGGTGAATATTTTATAGCACATAGAGAACTTCAAGGAACATGCTGGGTGGATACCTGGTGCAGCGGGGTACAAGGGACTAGGCAGAGGGGTGGGTGTATAGATGACAGAAGACTCCTTTGCAACCTGAGCAAAAGCTCAACGTTCTTTTTTCACTCCAGAATCGCCCAAGATGTTGAGTGGAGCTCACCTTCTGAATTTGTTCTGGCTGTTCCGCTACTTGTCTGGAAGGAAGCTGTGCTGATGAAACTCACGCTGACATTTGGATGGTGCATGCAGGCAGTCTTGCCTACATCAAGCTGAAACTCCACACTGTAGTATAATTTATTCATGCCTTATGCCCAAACTATTTTTCTGTCATAAGAATTAATAATCTCCCAGAATCCAAATGCATGAATCAGAGAACTAACAAGCATCGGAAGGTTTTTCTTTGTTAGCCTCTTCATGAGCCAATACATTGAGAACTCATGAGACCAACATACTCGGCACAGGAGTGATAGAGCTTGGTCCATAACCTTGGCTTCTCCATTTTTTGGCCTCCTAATCTCGTGATTGGCCTCTTTGTCCACATACTTGCTTCTATTGGATGCCCATCTTGCCTTCCTCTTCCCCTTTTTCCCCCTTTCCTCTCTCTCTGGAAGAGAATGTGAACAAGAGAGGCCATAAGAACATTGTTACCTGCTTGCACCAAGCAAAACAAGAGGTCGTGCCTTCATTTCATGTAAGGAACCTAAGTATATACAGATGACACCGTAAATAAGAAGGTCATTTAATCAATAAACCCACTTTTATGTGTTATTTGCAACAACTCACACTAGTAAATTTTAGGATCCTGGGGAGATGTTCATGTAGATATAGTAGCTCTTCACTTGGTGAATTATGGCTGAAGCATTGTAAAGAGCCCAGTGGGGTGGGTCAGCCTGCTGCTACTTCCTTACTGTATGAACTGGGAAACTTCCTGTTTCTTTAAGTACCATCCTCCCCACCCCCTCAGTTTCTCCCATTGGAGACACCTTGGAATGGGGGTGATAGCCTGTGTTACAATGGCTTGTGAAATGCTGATAAATGACATCAGCTTAAGTCCGTGGCTCACATGTGCAGTGTGTGGTGTTCACTTTGTTTGCTTTCTTCTTCCCAAGATTGGAAACTAGTGACGTTTTTGCCATCTCCTTAGTTCTGCCTTTCCCTGGATCATATGGGAAAAAACCCTCCAGTATGTGTCTATTCATACAGGCTGCTTTCACCTGGTAATAAGGTTTAAGGTTCTTAGATGTCTTTTTGTGGCTGAACAGCTCACTTCTTTTTTGTTGTTGTGTAAAAGTTCATTGTGTGGCTTCATCACTTTGTCACTCACTGAGGACAACTTGAAGGTAACAGTGTGTCATCTGGCTATCTGCTTCCAGCTGATCAGTAGGGTTGAAAAACAACTTGGTTGCAACCAATATTTTTAAAAATGAAGCTTCTGTAATTATTTTCATTGAGAACTTGTGTGGACATAGATTATTACTCATTTAGGTAAATGTCCAGTTGCATAGGTTACGGCAAGAGCATGGTTGGATGTGTAGGAAATAGTTAATTTTCCAGAGTGGCTGATTTATACTTTCTCCAGCAGTGAGAGCCCCCATTACTTCAAACTCACTGCCAGGGTGGTATCAGTGTTTACTCTCTGCAGACGGACTTTATGTGGTCTAGTCAATATGTAGTGGTAGCTCTTTTTTGTATTGGTTTTCATCCCTCTCTCCCTCTTTTGTTTTAGACTTACTCATTTTATATGTATGAATGTTTTTTATATGTATGCATGTATGTATGTATGTATGTATGTATGTGTATCACATGTGTGCCTGATAGTCACAGAGGGCACAAAAGGGTGTTGGACCCCCTGGAACTGCAAATACAGATGGTTGTGAGCTGCCATGTGGTTGCTGGGAACTGAACCGAGATCCCCTGCAAGAGCAGGAAGTTCTCTTAACCATTGAGCCATCTCTTCATTGTCTGAGTTGCATCTTCTGAATGGCATTATATTTAGCGTGATCCTTTTTGTCATCTGTATGTCTTTGTTGATGATGTGTCTAGTCATACATTTTTCTCTCTTTTTCTGATTATTGAGATTTAGTAGTTGTTTGTATATTTTGGATTTGAGTTTATTATCAGATTGGTGTCTTGCAAATATTTCCCCTATTTCCTGGACCATCTTTTTATTCTCTTAAGGTGGTGTTTTCTCAACAGAAAGCTTAAATTTTGGTAAAGTTCCTCCCTATCTGTTGTATCTCTCATGGACCATGTTTGTGATGTTGCATAAGAAATCTCATTTCCAAATCCAAGGTCATCTAGCTTTTTCCATCTGTTATCTCTGAGAAGCTTTTTAGTTTTGTGTTTTACATGCAGTTCTCCAATGAATTTTGAATTAATATTTTTGGGAGAGGTCTAAGATAACTGTATAAATGATGCTTATTATGCTGTTGCCCGTTTATCTGATTTTTACACTGTTGAATAAATTATCATTCCCAAAACTTTAATCACTGAAGGCTTGGGAGAATATTTTAACTTTTCAGTTAACAAAGCCTCTTGATGTGGAGAAATGTTGTGAATTTATGGGATTCTTTGTCAGTGAAGCCTACTTACATTTGGTGTTTTATGAGTGATTGGGAAAGACTATGGGGTGGCGTGCGCTATTTAGAATTGTTTTTGTTTCTTGACCAGAACCTAGATATCCAGCAAAATGTTTGCACGGATACTGTTCAAACAGCTGCTCTTCTGTGGCTTCTTTGTGTCTGCCAGCTTTCGGCAGCTGATCTAAAAGAGTGTGGAAATGCAAAGTTTTTCCTTTCCCTTTCTTCCTTTTTTTTTTCTTCCTCTCCTATCTTCTCCCTTCTTTCTTTTAAAACCACAGCTCTTGGCTGAAAAACCGTAACATCTGCTGACATTATTGATCTTAGGAATTAAAACGTGAGATGATCCCTGGAACTATTTCTAGGCACAGCGCCCAGGCAGTCCATAAAACCCATATATTTCAAATCATGTGAGTTTTGTGAAATGTTTTGATCCCTCAGTTGGTTGCTTTGGTTCTCTAAGGTTGTCCACAGGAAAGGGCTTAAAGTTTCTTGTGAAATAATTTTTATTCCTCATACTCTCAAACCTTATAAAAACAAAAGCATGTTTGTTTGTTTTTTCCTCCAAATGCCTCCTTTATGATACAGCTTCTTTTGGCAGAAATGTATGCTAGCTTGCTTCATGTTGAACCAAATTATCTGAAAGATAAAATTGAATAAAGGCTTAATTTATTTTTAACTTAAGCTGGAATTCAGAATTCGGGTCATATTAATAAGGATTTTCCACAAATAAAATCCATTAGCCCCTAATTATTTGTAAAATGTATTGTGCCCATAGTGAAAGAATTATTGACCCAAGTTAGTGATGAGTACATGAATTTTGTGGAATTTTTTATAAATTTCCTGTGTTTGTGGTTTCCCACACATCCTCATCTTACATCTGCCCTCTGTTAGGAAGTGTGTTGTTGGCATTACAAAAAAATAAATAAGGCAGACTCAGCAATTTCTTTCTCACCTATATCTTTTTCCACTAAACATAAGGACATCTAATAGTATCTTTCATAATAATTTCACTTTGAAAATACTTAATAATTTTATAAATATTTTATAAATTTTTGCAATAATTTATAGGTGACATGTAGATGATAGAATACTCTGAGGAAATAGAAGGAATAACTCACAGCTACATACAGCAACAGGAATAAAGCACAGAAATGAATAATTACTGCATTACTTCTATCTGGATGAAGCTTAAACATGAGCTAAGTCCATCCCTGATGTTAGAGGTGAAGATTGTGGTTGTCCTTGAGGGTCATCGTGATTCTAAAGGGCCATGGTGAGCCTTGTGGAGTTTTGATAACATGGCACATGATCTTAATAAAGGCTAATTGGGCTGTGTTCATTTCATGGCAGTTTGCTGACTCTTTAGTGGTGTGTGTGTGTATGGGGGGGGTGTACTTCAAGAAAGAAAATGCTTGTGGACTTTGTAAAGGGAGTGCCACTGCATCTGTAGTAGATAATCAGTAAAAGGAGATGTGGGACAGGTTAGTTAGAAGGCATGTGTGAACCTGAGATTAGCGATTGAAATAGTACTTAAATAATGCTTTGAATTATTCTTTACATTTCGCACTTGATAATATTTCAAATACGTTGTCATTTATGTTTGTCGAAATGTAGAGTACTAACTTCCCTTCACTGGAGATGCACATTCATTCTCTTAAAGATGGTATACATGCCTTGATGAAAGGAGATAGTGAATGTTTAAGTGAGTAAAGATGATCTTTAGCTACTTCCCCTTGTTCTCAGGACAGAGCACTGATGCCTTAGGGTAGCACGCAAGACCGCTAGGCCTTCCTTGAGTCTGCCTCTCATATGTCAGCCCTCTGTTCCATGCATTTTGTTCAGAGTAGTCAGACCTTTGGCACTCCGTGAACACTGGTTTTCTGCCACCTAGAAAACACTTTGCTCTGGCTGTCATTTGTGCCTTCCTTTTCTCTCATACTGGTACCATATTTACATATTTTTAAAATTCTATAATCCTTCTAATTTATAGCACAGTAGCTGGCATATGTGGGATGTTGGGTAATTGAAGGCAGCTTGAAAACCTTGCCTCTTATACTGAAACATTTATCTCCTTTGATAATTAAATATCTCTTTATTAACTTTGAAGATCAGTAAATTTACTGTGAATTTTCAATTTGTCTTTGTGTTGTAGTGCTTAGAACATGGTACAAAATCATTAGGTTACTGGAATGGGTGAACTATCTGAAGTTTTGAATTAATGCATACTAGGACCCAACCAAAGTTGTCTTTGATGTCTGTCTTATAAAATGTAAGCTTCACATTTATCCTTCTTATTGCATTATTTATAGATACAAAGGCCGAATTTATTTTTAGGATGTATTTTTGTGGGTAGGTGTGAGGCAGGGAGAGAAATTCAAGCAAGTTAAAGTTTTTTAGTATGGATAACTTACAAAGCAGAAGGTCACATAGAACAAAAGGAAACAAAAACTTCCAGTTTTCATTAGGTGTAGACAGTGTGCGCTGCATCCGTCTGGCTTTCCATGAGGGCATAGACTGCTCTGAGGAAACTCTTGGGAATGGCTTTGCTTCTCAGCTTGGCAGTCACTGGGATGCCTTGTCTCGTAGAGATAGATGGGCCTTGAGTAAGTAGTGCCTGAGTATTCTAGAAGGATTGAAGTAAGCCATCTAGTTCGAGCTGCTATGGTTTCTTTTGCTTTTAGCTAGTCTGCTCTCAACCTTTA